GTTAGAGACTAATACAAATATGTGCAACTTTAGTATCTGTTAGATATTTTCTGGAAGTTACCAACTGAAAAAAAAAAAAGAAGTCACACCCAACTCGTGTTTTGTATAGTTTGTAGAAACGTTAATAAAAATCAGGATGGAAAGCCATTCCAGAATGAGATCTGCTGCTGATATTTCAAGTATGCCGTTGACTCTTTATGTACTTGACTATTATACAGAATATCATTCACATGCCAACTATGCTTCAATAAATAGATACATACATTTCTTTTCAATACGCAAAATCACTTCTTTCTGTAGAAATATTTCTATCTCATATATTAAGTATTATATTATATTAATAATATACTTAATTTTATAATGACATCTAGATGTACATTACGTAGTATAACTGTCATTTAAAAATCAGTTTTTAAATATCATCAAAGGCGTTCGTATTCGCAGTAATTTTTTAGTTACGAATACCGCGAAGTATTTAGAATATACAGTTGAACGGTAATTAAAAATAAAGGATGTTTAAACAGAAAGCATACAAGGAAGAACACTTTCATAAATGGTTTAGAATTTTTAACAGACGATTCAAAAAAGGCAAACTATAACGGAAGTAAAGAATAAACGTTTTGATATGCGCATACATTAAGCAGTGCACGATCGTTGAGGACTTACAGAATACTAATTATCGTTCAGTCCTTGAATATTGCACATACTAATGTCATCTGAAGTTCTCCTTCTCGAAGGTCCACCGAAAAACTGACTTTTTATGGGAGACTGATTCTGTATCTTGTTTGTGCTTAACTAATTTTATTCGCAAACTTGATTCTACGAACTATATGCACAAACGAAGCCTAAACGTTTCTTCTTGGCATTCAGGCCAAGAATCTAAACTGATTGTTAGATTCTGTTGTACTGCATTATGTGCCTAGCCTAATTGCTAGGCGTGCTGAATTCAAACTGTACTATTTCGTTACTATTTTTCAATTGCATTCTCGTCGTCGACACTTCCTGCCGACTCGATTTTCTATGTATCTAATGCACGTTGATTGGTGATTCCTAAAAATACTGAATCCTCAACACAGGTTAGTTTGGAGAGGGGATGGCAATGTCTTAGCTGAAAGTGGCGAATGTTTGGCAACAGTGTAGGATTTCTTCCAGGTTTGACCACTTCGGTCTCTTGACCGTTACAAATAACCTCTGATTCCGCCCTTCGGAAAGCCCACCTTTTGTGACATAACTTCTGGTTATTAAGAACGAGAGAAATGATTTTCTAAAAACTCTAGTGTGTTGTAAATTCAACTTTGCATGAAACGCATGTTAATAATAAACTAAAGTCCTAATCTCAAAAATAACCTCTTTAGCATATCCGTGTCATAAACCGCTGAGCTAACAAAGATCGAGTTACATTTTACAAAGCGAACGACATCGACATCGTGCCTCCCCTAAGAAAGTTTTAAAATTCAACGGCATGATAGTTGAAGTAAAATTTTCGTTGAATAGTTATTATACAAATATGAGAATAATTTTTAAATGTTGAGAAACTATCAGGTCTATCGGTAAGTTCTGTCGTTTTTTTTCCCGACATTATATATAACACCGCTGTAACAACGAAGAATTAATTAATTTGAAAATGATCAAAGAAACAAATGTAAATCATTAGAGATGGAAACTAAAATAGGTCGTAGTCAATATCAATACACTGTACATATACATATGTATATCTTCTTCTTACGCATAACAATTTATAAATAAAACTAAAACTAAATTATAATAAATTATAAAACTACGATTTATTTACACATCTTTCACAAACAATAATAGAATGTTTTTTATATATGTGATTTTTATATACAGAGCATAGGCTGTAAATACTTATTTTTCTGTCAGCGGCGAAAGAGCATGTAAAACAACGGTGTCGTTTACAACTTATTTTTGGTTTCACATGGTGACAATTATATTTGTGGTATTATTGTCAATGAATAAGTCAAATGCAGTTTCTATTGAATCATAACTGAATATCGTATGTATACAATGCTCCATACTGAAAAACAGTTATTATACTGTTCCAATGCATGTGCATATATTTACACACATAGGCGCACATATGATGTAATTACCTAAATGTAGTTCCTTGTAACTCGCAGCGACACACTGGTCGTTTGATTTTTCTCCCAAGTTCGGCTATTCGTTATGTATTTGAATTCGGTGCCACTGCTTCTTGCATGCAGCGACAATTAATGTGGAATTAGTTCACACGAACAAATTTGTATGCGCTCATTCTTACCATTCTTATTCGTCATGATAAAGAAAATTGTAAATGTATGTTAAATGTGTAAATTCATTCGAAATAAACGTTGAAATTTTTCAAGGAAAAAAAAAACGCGTATAAGTGAAACCACGTTGTTCGAAGAAGCACTGTATTTTATTTTATTTTTCTTTTCTTTTTGACACAAGTTCACTGAAGCTGTTGACAAAACTTTCTCCTCCGTCAATTTTATTTCCATTTTCACTGAATTCTATGTCTTTTTGTCGTCCGCTGTCGTTCATATATTGAAATAAGATTGAATAATACTACCCTGTTGCATGCTACTTATATTTATCTTCCACGACCGCGGCGCATACTACATATTTATTTTCACGGACCGCTCTCTTTTAGTCTTTATCTAAGCCTTCCAACCCAGATAAAGAACAAGGGTTTTACTCATGAGCGAGGTAAAAGAATGATATAAGTACCTTTTTACTATAATTTCGAAATCGCATATACTGCATGTGCTGTGTTATACATTCGGTTAACCCATCGACTATACCACTATAGTTTCGAATTATTTCCGAATACGGTCTTTCTTGCGCATGAATGATAAATAGCCAATAGAAATGTCCTAAGACATGAGATATACATATGTAATATACCTGACTAAATATAGGTGTCCATTATTTGAAAAAGCAAGCAAAACCTTTGTTTGACACATTCTTCAAGTAGTGATCATAAAAGTCACTAAATTTCATATAAATTGAGTACTTTATCAATAAGTTATTTAATGCCGAATTTCAAGTCAAATTGACCCGAACAGCGCACAAGAATTACAGCATTAATCAGTAAATTTGTTATCCATTTGCTAGTTTTGTAATTAGACAATTTCTAAACATTTTATCTCTTTTAGTGGTTATCACTTATGTTTATGCCCCATCAAAGTTTCTAAATAAACGTATAAATTAGTTCTCATGGTTAGATAATTATGTCTGTATTAATATGCTTCATTTTGATAATTGAGAAGTGACATTCGACAGCGTGAATGGAAAAAGTACAATAAACGCAGTCCCACGTACCGTTCCACGTTTCTCTCTCTTTTTTCACTCTTCCTTTACCTCCACCTCTTTCTACTTTCATCTCTTCTACTCTGTCCTAATCTCCTCCTCTCTCTAATCCCAACTTCTTCCTCATCTTTCATCCTCTTCTTAAAATCTTCAATCTTTTCGCCAAACGACAAATACTGAACTATGTCGAAATTGATAATAATGCTGATTTAAAAAAAAATCACATACTACAAGTATGAGTTCCATAAATGTAATAAATATTCCAAGGATTTATCGCGTAAATTATTTATACTTATTGTATGGTAGAAGATATAGAAGAAAAAAGTAAGAATGGCCATGAAAAACGTACACAAGCACGAATATAATTAAAAGAACTCGTTCAATCGGCCAATAATAATTTAAATGTATACATAGATGTGAAGTTAATTAAACTAAGTGTGCCCTTATACTATGTAAGATGACTATGCAATAATAAGAAATTAGTTACGAATCATCAATTAAAGCATTGCGAAAGTAATTAATTAAACGAACAATTTTTTGACATAAATCGGAAAATGTTATTGGAAAATTTATTTGATACTTTTTCGTAATTTAAAAAAACCATCATGTATGCTTTGAATATAAGAAGTTAATGATAAAATAAGAAAATCAATAGGATCAACATAGATTGTAAAATGAATAATAATATTCATGCAATTCCTGTATTGTATCATATTAATAGATATGAAATTTCTGTGGTTATTCCATGTTCAATTAAAAGTGAAGTGATTAGAAAATAATTGATGATTCTCAAGCTACATGGACATAACAGAAAATGTATCATAAAAATCTTCCAAGTACACATATTTATATGTTCCCTTATCTGATTTAATTCGAAAAAGGAATCTTATATTTTCTTCAACACTACAAAGAAGAAAATATTCAAGTAGCCTCTTTCTAGTAGAAGGGGAAAAGATTCAAACATGTTTGCTAATCCAAGTAACTCCACTTTCTAGCTATACAATTTACTATATTAATTCTGTAATGCAAAAACACCTGAGAAATTATTATATTTTGCTCTGTGGAATGTTTAAATGGTCTTTACATACTAGTTGTGAGTTCCAAAAACACTTACATGAATGATAAGTTTCAACATTTTCAAAGGATTCATCAAATAGAAAAGTAATCAACCAGTTGTGAATTTTATGATCTGATCTTTTATATAACATATTGAACTCTATGAACAAAGTTAATCCATGTTAAAGTATATTTGTAGGAGAAACAAAAATTAAACACAATGTAAACAATTATACAAAACATAATGATTTAATGTTGAATGAACCAGTCAGTATAGTTTAATCATTAACTTAAATAACATCTTTAATAAAATATATTCGTAAACTTTAATCAATGTTCATTTATAGAAACTCGTTACATTTCATATAACGACATTCAATTCATAATATATTAAAAGCTGAGTACTACTTAAAGTGGAATGTTAAGTAATTCGCAAACAACTCACAAAACTAGCGCGTGCGCATTCTTATAAAGGAGTTGACAATAACGTTCCTATATACATATCTTATCAAAAATTTTTTTTAATATTACTCCCTTAATAAATATGAACAATGCTTTTCGAAAACACTGCGTATAATCATTGATAAATATTTAAAAAATTTCGTTTAAGATAAGAAAGAGTACATTTCGCTTACCGCTAATACGCCTCATGGCGGCTCACGACACAGCTCGTATCCAAAAACCGACGAGCTGGCCAATCCAGCAAGGTATGTAAATCTTCTTGTACGCTATAAACACCATGCCACATGTACAAACACCGATCATCACCTACGCCATGCACACACCGATTTTGGAACGCAAGGTTCCCGCGCCATTGCCCACTTATGAGGATTTTCTCGAACAAAGCAGATAACTTGAGCCTTCGACACCGTTTTTTCCTCGTTATATTACCACAAAAAAGTAAAAAGTTGCTTCAAAAAGAAGTGACATACTGTTAGCCACGATCCGAAAAGTTTTCTTTTTGCGTAAGCAACGAGTGCACTAAAAACGTGGTAATTTTAGACGTACTTGAATACGGATGAGAAACGGCCACCAAACAGGGTATAAACTACTCCATCACGACTTCTCACGTAGCACTGTCGTGCTGTAGTATCCAATGCCACCGCTAGAGCGCTCAACCGACCGGTAATGATAAATCTCCTCCTTGTATGGATTTAGGTTTTGAAGTCCGAATGTCTGCTTCTTAAATTCATTATTCAATCGCATATTCCGTATCGTGTTTTTATATGGTTTGGATATTTGTATTCAGATCTATTATCATAACATTAAACTATTAAATCGTCCAAAGATTTTATCGTACAAAATGTACAATCTAATATGTTGGTTTTAATATCGTAGAATATAAAATTTTCAATTACGATTATTCACTTCTTTTTTTTGTTACTGAAATATATTCGTTAGTTGAATAATGTATCTATTATTTTTATTATCATTGTCAATTCCAGCTTTAGTTGTGGTACACATAATTCCATAAAGCTGTCATTATTAATTGTATAAAATATTTTCATACCATAATATCCTATTAATTGAAAATTAATGTAGAAATATTTGTATCACTATTATATTTTACAAATAGTTTTGCTTAACTCTAGAAATTTTAAATTATAATAATAATAGAAACATTGTGTTATTCCAGTTTTATTTATCCAGAATGGGAACAGTAAGAAGGTTTACACATGCTATAACAAATAATGATAATTGTTTGCAACTAATGCCTTTTTGTGGTGTAGTCTATATCTCATTAAACATTTTTTTATATTTGTTTCTATCAAAACAAACAATTAACATAATTAACAAACAATTGCTGAACATGAAAAAGCACAAAAATAAAGTGCTATATTCTTTTACACACATAAGTATGTATATACTTCCTAAAGATTAAGAGAAAACAATACTTTGCAAATATTTTTGCAACTCATAACTACATCTAAATCATTATTTATAATTTCTATTTGAAATGAAGTTCATAAAAATGTTTTTGTAGCACATAAATTATATAATATAAATGTAACAGTTCTACTATAATAATAAAAATGGTGCATACATTAAGTACAGTCTGCATAAAAATGTTATCCTCTATGTTAGTCTTATGTTTTTTTTAAAGCTAAACTAAGAATGCTGAAATTTATATTAACGGTACAGAAATGTTTCAAAGTTAACAAGTATCTTGTTATTCTTAGAGAAGCTGGTATAAAGCCAATAGCATAATAGAATTAATTATAGGCAATTAGCTTATAACATCAACTTGAATTTTGTGAGCATTGTTGCACATACATACACAAATACAATGCAATAATATAACCATATTACCAACATTTGTACACACTTCAAATTAAAAGTAATTATACAAATAATTTTGTTTGTGTATATGACAGCAACTCTTTACTATTAGCAAATATGATTCAAAATAAATGTGAATCTGTTATCTGATTTGTTTTATAAATTATAATGGAGCAGATATTGTAATGTATACTTATAACATTAAGATATTCCTGAATTTACATGGTTTAATAACAAATTTTACTGTATCTTTTACAAACTTAAAAATTTTGTTTACTTAAAATTTAT